AAGTTCATAGAAAAGAAAAAAATTTTATTTCTTCATAATAAATTTCGAAGCAACGTTGCTAATGGCGGTGAAAAAAATAAATTAAGAAAACTTCCAACTTGTTCAAATATGAGACAAATGGTCAGATTTAAATTTATTTTTTTTAAACAATGTTAATATGGTAAAAAAAAAAATTAATTAATTTTTTTTTTGTTATAAATTAAGTACTGGGACAAAGAATTAGAAGAAATAGCATCCAGATGGGCTGGACAATGTTTGAACAGTAACGATAAATATCCATCAGATGTTTGCAGAAATACGAGTATATTTTATTATATTCATTTATATAATGAATAATTAATTTAATATTAAATAGAAAATAATAATGATAATATTTAGTTTTAATAAATTTTTTTTATTAAAATTTCAGAAAGGTTTAAAGTATCACAAAATGTGGGTACAAGGAGAGTAAATAACACATTAATAGATAAACAAGCACCACAAATTGTTTTTTTATGGAATAAAGAAGGAAAAGATTTTAATACAAGTTACATTGATAATTTTTTACCGTAAGTAGTAAATTCCCACACCATAGAAATATAAAATAAATTTTTTTTTTTATAATTTTTATTACATTTTTTTATAGATTGGAAAATGATAAAACATCACATCAAATAGCAAATATTATATGGGCTGAAACTTATGCGATTGGTTGTGCAAGAATTATTTTCCAGGAAAAAATACCAATGGTTAATTTATTTATTTATTTTTCATATCGTAAATTATTTTAATGACGTCATAAAGTCAATCGTCGAACATTTTTCAGGATTTTAATCCAAGTGGGAGTTTTGTATGGACGGTCGAACGATTGGTTTGTAATTACGGTCCTGGAAGTGAAAGAGGAAAACAAATTTATAAAAGGGGAGCTCCTTGCGAATCGTGCCCCCCAGGAACTGAATGCAGTCAAACTATTCCTGGATTATGTGCATTGAAAGGTATTTCATACAATTATTAATAATAAATCATCATATTTATCTCATAAAAATAAATTTCAATTTAGAAAATCTAAAAAACGTCGAAAGTGGTGGCACGAATAAATTTTTAAATCAAAAATACAATGAAAATGGTAAATAATTATTATTATTATTATTATTAATTTTTTTTTGTTAAAATAAGTTTTAAAAAAAAAAAAATGAAAATTATTTAGGAATCCCACTGATGGTTTTCCAAAGAAATGAAAATAATATTAATAATATTAATAATAATAATAATAATGAAACGTTTGAAAAATGTCCGAACAATGAATGTATATTAAAAAAATCAAGGATGTTAACGGATTATCAGTCGAGAAAATTAGAAGAATTTTTGAACTCTCCCAAGACACCAGGTGATAAATATTTAATCAGATCCGGAATTTATTTACGTGGGAAATGCCATTGTTCAAATGTAGTCAGATCGAGAGGTCAAAAATTATCGGAATCAAATTATTTAAAAATTTTTTTCATATTCTTTGTCATTTTGGGTGTCGATTGACCTATTTATATTTCTAGCGGAATTTGTATTTGAAGGAACAGAAAAAAAACCATTGTCATCAAATGACAAGATGAATAAAAAGAAAAAAGTTGATTGTTGTAACAAAGGGATATGGTCTTTATCAGACAAGAAAAGAATTATTAGAGAAATTCTAAAACAGATGAAACCAGCCGATTCAGATGATGAAAAATTATGCGATTGCATTGAAGTTGTTACTGCGGGTGCCAACAACAATTTCATTTTATTTAAAAAAAATAAATTTTTATTATTATTAATATCGTTTATCATAAATATGATTGTAGAGTTTTTTTAAATCTTCAGTAATTATATTTAAAAATATCTACAAAAACACGCACACACACATATTTTTTCTATTATGAAAATTAAAACGTAATAATAATAATAATAATAATAATAAACTTTTATTGTTTTTTTTTTTTTTTTGTTATTGTTATTGTTGTTGTTTAACACACGAGTCTTATTGTAAGTACGGTATTTCTTTTTTTTTTTTTTTTAAATAAATATACAATAATTTAATGTCTCTCTCTCTCTCTCTCACTCTCACTCTCACTCTCTACCTTATTCAGGTTTTGCAATAAAATGCGAGAAGCGCTATCTAGGCTACCTAATATACTAGTGAGCATAATAAAACTTGTTCATTGTAGAAGCTATATTTCAGTACAATTATTGTTTTGTGACAAGGTATTTATTATCAAGGTTTTTTTATTATTATTATTATTTTTTTTTTTTATTGTTTGTTGATAGAAAAAAAATTATTCAAATAACAAAAGAAGAAAAGAATTACAATTAAAAATGAATTCTCCGGATGCTGTAGAGTTTAATAATTTACAAAACGTGCCAAAGACGAGAATCGAATTACACGCTCATCTCGATGGTTGCATGAGACATGAAACAATCTGGGAATTGTTAAAAGAAAAAAATTTAAAAATGCCTGGAAATGGGACGTTTAAAGATTTAAAAAAAGCTTTAGTTGTAAGGGATCCCGTTAATTTGGGTCATTTTTTGGCACCTTTTGGTATATTTTTACCAGCTGTTCAAGATGATTTTAATGCCATGGAACGTATTGCTTATGAATTTTGCGAGGATAAAGCAGAACAAAATGTTCTCTACGTCGAAGCAAGGTATAATCCACATGCATTTCTAACGGAAAAAAATACAAACAAAGAAAATTTAGATGAAGTTGTCGCTGCCATACATCGAGGTTTCATAAAAGGAGAAAAAGATTTCAATATTAAAGTGGGTACTATTTTATGCTTGCTAAGAGGTACTGATAAATCTATGGAAGTTTTCGATTTGTACAGACGACAATCGGATAAAGGATTATTAGGGTTAGATATGGCAGCGATATTTTCGGAAACATCGATAGAAGATGAAGTGCCATTAAATACGGAAGAACAAAAAATATTCGAAAGAGCAGAAAGACTTCACATACATAGGACAATACACGCATCGGAAAGAGGACCCCCAGAAATGGCGGAAAGAGCATTGAATAATTATCGTGCGGAAAGAATCGGTCACGGTTACAGAGTACTTGAAAATAATAAAATATATCGTCAATGCATCGAAGAAAATGTCCATTTTGAATGTTGTCCTTGGTCAAGTTATTTAACCGGATCCGTTCCGTTACGAATAAAAAAACATCCGATAGCCGTTTTTTCCGAAAACGATGTTAATTTTTCAATAAATACCGACGATACGGCTGTTACCGGTTATACATTAACCGACGATTATAATCTGACCCAAAAATGGGGTTTCACAGAAGGTACATTGATTAAATGTAATTTTAATGCTGCCAGAGCGACATTTTTACCAGTAAACGAAAAGGAAGAATTGATAAGAACATTAAAAAAAAATATCGGAATTGAATAATAACGGAAAATGAAATCATTTTCATATTTATATTAGTCTGGATAGAAGAGAATCAAATTTTAATTTGCTTAATAATAATAATATTCCTATAGTAAAAAAATATTTTATTATCACGATATAAATTATTCTATACGCCTTTCAAGTGCCACTACTGCTACTACTATTATTATTATTTATTATTATTATGAATTGAATAAATAAATAAAAATATAAGGAAATTAAAATTTATATCACTTATATAATATTATATTCATCATCTTTACTCGCGATTCCTTAGGGATAAAAAGATGTTTGAAAATTCACGGTGGGGGTTGTTACCCTTTTTTCTAAACAACAAGATTTCTTATTTTAATTTTTAAAAAAAATTTTCTGTGGTTGGTGGTGTAAAATGATTGGCTCCCACTTCTGGTAATTATTAGTTTATGGGATTTTTTTTTGGAAAAACGTTTCACGATGACGGGATCCGGTCTGTTGGTCTGTTGTCAAGGTTTTAAATCTTTTCAGGTATCATTATTGTAAATTTTTATTTTAACATTTGACCTTGAGTTTCTTATGAAATCGAGCCTTGCTGTTGTTTGTATGCGTCCAAATTGACATTCCTTCCTTTTTTTTTTTCAATATTCAACTATTTCCTTTCCTTTTTACATAATGTTTTTTCTCTAAAAATTAAAAAACGTTTAACGATTGAATTAATTTACGCGAATTCGTTTTGACAGTTCTAACAACCTTCCATTTTCTTTTCAAATGGCATAAAGTCTATCAACATCCGTTTTCGATTTTACTCTTATCATTTCCTGTCGTTTTATACAAAAAAAAAAAAATACTTATCAAATATAAATGCAAATTCCCATTAAATCTTGTAATTATTTTTAATATTAAAACGCGACATAAAAATAATAATAAAAAACAATAAAAATATGAAGTATTATAATAATGATTTTCGCAATATGACCTTGGCCAATTAAATTTTTTTACTATTTAAATAATAATAATAAAACCATGTGTGTTAAATATGGCGCATAATTTTCATAATACGTTATATATAGAATAATATTTTTTTTTTTCTTGTTTTGTAATTTTTGACAATGCAATTAAATTATTTTCATTTATTTTTGTTAAATCGTCATTTAAAATGTATCAAA